TCCAGTTGGCAGAGAAAATAAATGGTCTCCGTATCTGGTAATTTGGGGCCAAAACCGAGAAGGGCCAGCGAGTGCCTATCCAGGCAGGTCATGCTGCAGGCAGGTTGGTCCCCTCTGAGTGAGTTCAAAGCTGCTCAGGTACCAGTTGCTTATGATTTTCCTGTAAAGAAAACCTGATTTCTACTCTTCCTTTTGCTCTCTTCTTATTCCAGTGATCATTGTTGCTGCTTTAGAGACAATTTAGTAAACAACTGTACGAGTTAGCACAAGGGTTGGTTTTAGAATAGAGGACAGAGGATCTTACTTGAGTCCTATCTAATTTCATAGCACAGCACAGCTGATTCAGGGGATGACATAGAAATGAGGAGGAATAATGCAGGAGGGTAGAGCAAACGTTTGACTTAGACTCTGCCCATTTTTATTCGTATAACTTACACAAGTCGCTTCACATCCAAGCCCCATTTAAGAAAAAAAAAATGAAGCGTTGGATTAAATGATGAAAACCCCCTTCCAGTCCTAAGAATCCATGAAATAATGATTGCTGCTTCAATTTCTTCTTTCATAAGAGGCTTACTACTCTCAAACATTACTTATTTGTATTTTAAGTCAGAGGAGCCAACAATAATGAATAACCAATTTGGATTTTTCTAATCCCCTTTGGGGAAAATGAAATTCAAGCCTCTATCTTCATTTGATGTTTTACAACAAGCATAGCATGGAAGTTGGCCACGTTAATCCACACTTTGGTGTTTGGGGATACAAACAGATATCCCTTTATAAATCTGTCCTTTGCCTAAGGCACTGTCCTCATAGATGTAGCAGTTCAGCTCAGGGAACAATGCTGCCGGAGTCACCATGAGGGGCCAGGACGAGTCTATGGCCTCCCTCAAGGTCTTGCATCATTCCTGCTGTAGCAACAGAGCCCACTCTGAATACCCAAAACACACAGTTTCCTCCAAGCAGACCTGATTGCCAACCCAGTATGGGAATTCGGGAGCCTTTGGCAAATACACTTGAACACTCTTACGAAATTTGGTGCAAGACTTACACAATAACAGCAACTGTCTGTAAATACTTTCCCTTTCCACCCATACACAGACACGCACATCCATGCCCAGGGTGGGCCCGGGACAAAGTCCTTCCTCTAGAGAGAGAGGCAGGAATAGCTAGTTGAATTCATTTTCAAATTTTCCTCTTGCTTTGGTTTTATTGTGGGTATCACATCATGGATGGAGATGGTCTGTCTTACAAGAATGGAGTTGTTTGGTGCTCGTTGCCTTCTTCAGTGCCTGAGGAGTTTCCAGGGTGGATAAAATGTATGTCTGCAACGTGCATGTCACCAGCCATGGCCTTTGAGCAATCTCTTGCACGTTCTGGTGCTTCTGCAATGGACCACCCTTTTCACCCTTACTCTTCATCCAAACTCCTGATAAGTATGGAATAGGTTTGGTACTATTGTGTTATGAGCACCTATATTGCCAGAGAAGACTTCAGCCCTGTAGATTTGGGGGAGAGAGATGTAAAGCTAGTACTAAAAGGATCAGGTTAGTTTTTTCTTTTTCATTTGTTCAAATTTTTAGTGCAGAAGACCTGACATAAGAGCATCAAGAAAAATATATTTCTTAGCAGACGCATATAAGAATGTATAGAAAATGTGGAGAAGCCCTCAAGTTCTGACTTCATTCAACTCAAAATAATATTCTGAGGAATTACTGACTTTCTTTTCCCTGTGTCCAGCCTTGCTTCACCTTCCTGCCTCTGGGGCAAGAATCCATTTGGATATTTTTAAAGCCCTTCTGATTGTTACACAGGGCCCTTCTGAGCGGAGGATAAACCTGCTACTGGAACAGATCCCTCTGCCTTGCAGAGTCAGCCCTTGACCTCGAGCCTGGGTAGCAACAGGTCTCCAGTTCCTCTGGAGTCAGCCCCAACCCCTG